ACACATTTGTACGAAATACGTAACAATTTTGAAAAATTCCTGCTTTAAGCAGGACTAAATCGCGACAAAATTTAAGCAAACTTACAATATTTGTTTATTTTTAAAACAAAATAAAACACACTTAAACTTGTAACAGAATACGTTATAAGTGCATTGTTTTTTTTTTAACGTTATTTATTTAATGTGGTTCTACAGTAAAGTGCCGAAAATTTGGGGCGTTTTACCAGGGTCCATCCAAAATTACAAATATATCTGCATAATTTGTATAAAATAAACGATATTTAGTATGTAAAAATAATGAAATAAAAAGAAATTCATTTACAATTTGTTATTGTAAAAATTCGACAATACATTTGAACATTAAATATCTTTCCAGAATGGCTGATAATCTATTACTTTTTTATGACCGTTATAATTGTAATTTTTTTAACTATTATAATCTTATTTTTTAGAGAATTTTTTAGAGGTCTATGGTATTATTTGTGTGTAATTAATCAAAGAAGTGCCTATTTTTTTTGCACACGTCAAGTCACTTCAGCTTTATTATATTAAAAAATTAGACATTTTTACGATAACTCGATTTACTATAGAACCACCTTAACTATCAGATTTTTTTACAATTAAGTACTCTCAGATCTTCCAAAGATTCCTCTTCCCGATTTCTCTTACATTTCAGTCTTGGACTTTTTTACTTTTAGATTGTATTCAATCAATTGTAGTCATTTTATTGCATCAACAATATTACAAAGAAGTTTACACTTGTTAAATGTATTTTTACAGACGCGAGTTTTTATCATCATATAATTTTATCATTGTTAAAATTATTATTGCTTATAAAGTTAAAACAGTTTATGTGTGTACATTATTTTATTGTTAAAAGGATAATGCATAACTATACATATATAATGATGTTGATACAGTAATTCTGTTAATACATTTAATAACATTTCTAATATTATGTTATAATATGTATATATGAATTACTTGAGACGATATATGGTAAAACCATTGTATATTTAAATAGCACATAAAGATATTGATAAAAATTTGTATAATTATAAAAATTTTGCAAATAATAGATTGATTGCTTTAATAGACAAGTGAATGAAGTCTGTATATAATCATACAAATTTGTTTTTGCAATTATTTCATGATGAGGTAACATATCCAAGACGATTGGACTTTATAAAAAGATTAAACTTGCATTTTTTAAATGTATATATTGTTATACTTGATGTATTACATGAGCGTACTACACAATTTTCAATATGTGAGAAAAAAGATGCCAAAGTATATATTTTTGAGATCATGTTCTGTGACAGATATGTTATATGTTTGAGCAATAAATCAAGTTGTTCTAAAAATAATTTTTTTTTTTTGAAATTATATTAATTATATTTAACCTCCTACAATTAAATAGCATTATATCTTTTATATAAATAGGAACGAAAAATATTTTTTTAGATGTATATTATTTCTTTTCTAATTATTTCTATTTAAAACTATGCAAAATATTCTAGTACCAAATAAGTATCATATATGTATAAAGTTAATTAATTGGTAAGTTTAAATTATATAATTTTTATATAAGTAAACTGTATAATTTTTTATGTATGTTACTTAAATGTTGTTACATTAAGTTTAACATGGGAAAATTATAAGTACCATTTAAAACCTTAAAATGCAAATTTTGTTTTTAAGTAGTCTTAAATTTGATCATCTCAAAAACATAATTTAAGAATTTGAGGATTTAATAGAACTTGAGAAACAACAATTTGCAAGATTACAAAGATTTTGTCTTTTGAGGATGTGATTGCAGATAGTATTTGAATTAAAATGTTATAAATTGTGAACTAGCTTGCATATTATTGCTGGCTATTTATTTATAAATCTGTGATTATGTCATGTGCAGGGTCATCCAGTTGGACTGATAGGAGAAGATGGAGGGGCCACGGCAGGAGCACTCAGTGATGGTGTTCAAGGGATTGAATCATCTGAGCACCATAATCCTCCGGAAATGCTCGACGGACTTGATGGTAAGATCTGCACACATGTATCCAACTTTACGACCAAAATTTCGTTTAGATTTAACATATTTCCTTTTTTACGTTTTGTACCAAGCCGTTCTGAGCTGTGATTAACTTGTACATTATGCGTGTTGAAAATTTTACTCGATATTATCTCAGATATTATCATTCGAATGGGCTTAAATATTAAATTTGAAAACAATAATAAAAGAAGAGCATTATTCAACATTTATTCATTAAAATATCGCGTTATATAAATCAAACTCGTTATTTTACGCGTATCAAATGCTCGACGTCACGGGAAAAACTATTTCTCAGTGTGTGGGAAATATGTTACATCTAAGAAATCGAGGGAGATTTGCATGCACGTATTTGCAAGGATTTGACACGAGTCGAGTCGTACGTAGGTGTCGTCCGAAGCGAGCATCCCTCTATTTCCAAATCTGGCAAGTGTAGTGAGTGTAACTTTAGAAAATGAAAGACCTTTATATATATATATATATATATATATATATATATATATGTTATATCTATTAACAATTTGCAGCTTCCACATAAGAAGCTATA